TTTCTGCCAGGTGTTGCGTTCCGTGCGGCTCCTGACCCCGGGCGGCGGGAGAGGGACTGCCCTTGGGACGCGCTCCACCAGACTGTTAAAGAGCTCTCTTGGCTAATTTTAAAATGCTGCACATATTTTCTTCTTCCCCTTTCTTTAGATGTTGGTGGAAAAGGCGACTCTTTAAGATAAGCTTTGCATATGTGTCTTTCGGGATAGTTTTTAACGGCAGCGCTCGAGGGCGGTACCGTCAGTGTTACACCGCGTGGGACACGCGCTCTGCTCAGCCCCGCGCCGCGGCGTTTGCAGGTGGGAGCGGAGAACGGTGATTGCTTTTCTCAGGCAGATGGAGCGGGGCTTTCTTTACCCAGCATCTAGAAATCGGGTGAATTCCCCCTGCTTACGAGAATATTTACACAGGCTTGATTTTCGAACTCGGCAGTTCGGCAGTGTTGCGTTACTGATAGTTGGAGGATTTACTGGTTTTTTGGTCTAATAAATGAAGGCCAGAAATTCTGTAACTGCAGTGTTAGCTCTGTGTTTGAGGAAACTGAGGGGATTAATACTGGGTTTCCACAAAGCCCTTTGAATGTGTATGCATTTCCACATCTGCTTGGACAATGCACTGAAACTTACTGTATTTAGTAGTTTAACCTACTACTGAGAAATGTTTAATGCTTAAATGTCTAATTAAAAAGCATCTTTAGAATGTTGTTGAATGGGAAAGTGTTTTTTCTGCTCTGTCATTTCTTTATATTGTACATGGATTAAATACTTCCTTCTCTTCGGGTTATCGCTATGTAATAAAAGATATATAAATATTATTACTTCTTAAATGATAGAACGTACTGTAATACACTTTATATAATTCTATTTTAATTCCAAAAATGCTTCTTTGAATTTTTTACGCTTTTACTTTTGTCGCCGCCTACTTTTTTTTGCTGTTAGTACGAGATGGCAGGCAGCTCTTAGCTTCAGCGCTCTCTTCAGGTATGTGTTTTCATTAATTACTGGAACGTGCCGTGGAGTGGGTTTCAGCTCTTGTCCTAACGAGTAACAGCGACTGCGATGGGGATCCCGACACTCCCCGTGGAGCACAGTGCCCTCGGCCCTTCCGTTACAACCTTTTTTTTCGTTTGCTTAAAAAGCTGCATCAGTAGAGTAATGGCTTTTTCACAAGTGAAAGTACACGGTTTGTGGAATTTAGAAATACTTCTTTTCTGATTGCGCTTCTCTCATTATTGGTAGAAATCCTCCCTCTGTTTTCGTTTGTCCGTTGGGGATTACACGGACATTCTGCTCCTTTTCATTGGAATCCCCAGTTGCGGATTTTTTTCCTTTTCATTTTCCTGTTTGCAGATTCACCTTTTTAAGGTCTCTGGAGCTTTAATTTGAGTCCGAAGCTGTTCACGGTTTTGCTGCTTTGGTTTTACTTCCTTCAGAGAAAGAGGCAACGTTTCGGTTCTTCAGCCTTTGAAGTCTGAAACCTTCTTATAAAGTGGCCCTATAGGAATTACCCCCCGCCCCCGCATGCACCTTTTCGCTTGCACAAAAGTTCGTTTCACCCAGTTATTTGTTTGCAAACAATTACTGGCAAACTCTTAAGTGCACTGTGTGTCAGATTTATAAACGCAGACTGTTAATGGCCCGTTTCATCTGGCGCAGCAGCACCAGGTAGTTTATAACCTTTAGCACTTGGGCAAATGCGCTGAAATACACCTTCTGCCTTGGGTATGGAACGGAGGATGTGGTTTGATGTCAAAGCGTTACATGGAGAGCTGATACACCAAAAGAGTTAGTGGGGATTGGGGCAGTTCTAAGACAAATACCATATAAATAGAATCACAGGATGGTTTGGGTTGGAAGGGACCTTTAAAGGACATCTAGTCCCACCCCCCTGCCCTGGGCAGGGCCACCTCCCCCCAGCCCAGGTTGCTCCAAGCCCCGTCCAACCTGGCCTTGAACACCTCCAGGGATGGGGCAGCCACAGCTTCTCGGGGCAACCTGCCCCAGGGGATCACCACCCGCACAGCCAAGAATTTCTTCCTCATATCTAATCAGGGGAGTTGGAACTAGATGATTTTCAAGGTCCCTTCCAACCCAAACCATTCTATGATTTTGGGAGATGGCAGTGTGTGGTGGAAGGGGTTTGCTGGTCTCCTACTGCAGATACCTGACTTGGAACAGTAACCCCACGCTCTCCCCTGGGCTGTGTTCTGCTGGGAGCTGGGGAGCCGAGCACGCCGCCTCGCAGCACGGCTCCTCCGCAGAAGATGCGTCCCGGTGGAGAAGCTCCTGGAGCCGTGTTCTCAGCGCGGGTGCTGCTGGTGCCGAGCCAGCCCCCGCGAGCGGAACAAACTATTCCAGTAAAAGCACAGTGCTGTCACCGACAGTGTGCTCGCGTGAAGAAAACGCTGTTGGCGAGAGATCGCTGTCTTTGCCTTCCTGAAGGACACTTGCGCAAGCCCATGGTGTAGAGGCAGCAGAGCAGTCCGCAGCCCCCCCGGGGCCAGGGGGGGAAGGATGCGTTGGGTACGTCACCCCAGGCGCTGCCGCCGGGGCGAGTGCCGCAGGTGGAGGTTTTGCTGTCCTCAAACAGAAGCACGGTGAAGGACAAGCACAGGTTGGTTTCCTCATCAACTGGAGCTCTGCACTCATGAGAGCTGTCGGTTGTTCTTCCTATGTCCTCACGTGGGTTAGAGGAGCAAAGGTGGGCTTTTGAGGAGGACAGGGCTTTGGGGGCAGGAACCAGCCCCCGTGGAGCTTTAACGTGGCTTTGGGGACACGGTGTTCTGAGGCCTCTCACAGGGGACTGCAGCGTCCAGGAGCGGAGGGGTGAACGGTGGGAACCCCTTCCGAGGTGGGGCTGGAGACGGGCTCCCCGGGACACCCAGCCCCCCACGTCCCCCGCGGCCGTCCGCAGCCCAGAGCATCGTTGCCAAAACACCGTCTGAAAGAACTTGTGATTCTTCTGGTGGGGTTGGAGAAGGAGGAGAGACGAGGTCTAATGGCTTACGGTTTTTTTCTCTTTTCCTATTAAACGTGAAGGTATCAAGCCTGTTTTTAAAGGAGCTATCATAAAGATTAAAGTTTTATACCGTTCCGCATAGCCTTATGGAATATGTAAATACGGGTCACAATAAATATATTGTTCTATAGAAACTATTTTGTACTATGGAGTTTCCTAAGTAATAAACATACTCTGCCTGTTGTGTGTTGTACTGTACAATTACCACTCTAGTTTAGCTCTACCAGATATGAAGAAAAAAATCTATTTTCTAACACTGTACTGTAAGCATTTCTCAAAGGGATTTAAGAGGCTGACAGCAAAAGGAAATTGAGTTCTGTCAGGAAGACAAATCAATGAGATCTAGTGCCCCTTCTGTCGTGTTTTTGCAATTGCCTTATCAACGCGCGAGCTGCGGGAGTTTGGGAAAGGCATATTCACAGGGACTGCGGCCACTACGGAGCTGAGTGTAATGGGGACGCTGGCGAGAAAAATTCTGCATTTCTAATCTGTTGAAAAGAGATGCTGTCGCGTTTGGTAAGAGAGACAAATTAATCCACTCCACACTCTCCTTTGCGTCCCCCTTCTGTACAGAAGTGGTTTTCCGTTTTACAGCCAAGCCGCTTCGTCTTCAGAGAAAAGATGAAAGTGTGAAGAGGAGCTGCAATAAGAATGGGCTCTATCAAACCGCGGTCCGCGCTGGGGGCTCTGGGGGTACCAATGCCATCGGAATAACGACAGCAAACGCGCTCCCATTGCACTGCGCTGCGCGTGTAGCTGTACACTGCCATAGACCTCGTCCCACCCCCCCGCGCCCCCGTTGCTCAGAGCTGCGCAGCGTCCCGCGGGCGCGCTCCCACGGCGAAACGCCAAGCTCCTCTGGAGGCGATTTCTCTCATCCGTCGTCAGAAACTGCAGCAATGGGCAGCGGTGGGAAAGAATCTGTTGGGGCGCAGCGGTACGGCCGGCGCCGCGTGGGTCCTCTCCGTCGTACCGGGTTTGGTGCATCGCCCCCGCGGCTCGTCCCACTCTGTGCTACGGCTGAGCCTCCCCGGGGATGCCGCCAGCGCCGCCGTACGTCGGGGACGGGACGGGGGTGAAGAGCTTCACCACGAACGGCTCTAACGGGGGTACGGTACCGCAAATTGCCGCAGAGAGCTCCATCGGGTGCTCTCGCGGACGGGACGGGTCTCTGACCCTCTCCCAATTAGACAAACTCCGCATTTGTCCAGCCTGGCCAAGTGGAGTGGCTTTTTGGTGATTTCAGTAAAGGTGCCGTGAGTAGTCGTCGGTTTGGAGCAGGTAGAAAACGCGGCAAGAGCCGCTGGATGGGGGTGTGCGGGGGTTGAACGTGGCTTGGTGTTCCCCGAAGAAGAGGGGATGGGGCCCACTCTCAGCAAGGTAAAATGCCCTCAGCTCGGCACCCGGGGTGGAGGGACTGCGCTTTCCCCCGTTAGATCGTCCCCGTAACGAGGGATGAACCCACATACGAGGCGCTCGGCTCCCGAAAGACCCTGTTAGTCTCCGTGTGCCCAGGGCAGCGTGCAGGCGTGCTCCCGGCGAACGCGCGGGGCAGAGAGAAGAACTGCAGTGCAAAGGGACGCGATGGACATAACATTCCCGATATGGGTCAAAGCCGAGGCAAGACCCCAAATCCTGAGCGCCAGTCTTGCCCTCCTGTCGCTGTCCCAGCAGAGCCCCCGGGGCCGGCACCGACCCCACGCCTCGTCTTGCGTTCGAGCCCAAACGAGCTGTAAATATTTTGCATGGGTTTTTTTTTGCGTTGTGCTGTACTTGATTTCCAGGCTCAACCCCCCCCCGCTAACTGCTGATGGGAGAGTTTTCCAGAGAACCTGGCAAGAAGCAGCGTGAACGTGCTGATGCGATTTTCGACGTTAATCTTCTGTAAATCGAGTGGCACATTTTTAAGGGACGGCCGGGAGAAATCTGAATAACGTTTCCATAGCACGCTGCGAGCCCGCGCTATTGAGATGAAATCTCATGGATGGAATTCAGTGGACGCAGCTGCTGTATCAGCGTCCAAATAATGTGCTGTTCTGTTCAGAAGCAACCCATAAATAGCAGGGCCGCCCGCCCCGGCCGGCAGAGCGGAACCACGCCGGGAGAGGTAGCGGCGGCACTGCTTGGACTGGAAGGGGCTTTAAAAGAGAATTAGCATGTCTGAGTCGAGGTCTCGCCACAGCGACTGTTTTGCTGATGCTTGGCGAGGTTTTGATTAAGGACGCCGGTCAAACTCGGTTTCTTTTATTCGTCTCCTCTTAACCTCTCGACAACCCCTCGCGTTAGCGGGGCGAGAGCAGGCGGGGGAGGCGCGTTCGGACGGGGTTTCCTTTTCGAGTGGGAACTTTGCGAGATGTTCCTGGAGAGCGAGGAGAGGGCTCTCGCTGCCGTCCGACCAGCGGCTCCACTGCCGGGGTCTGACGCCCCCCGGGACACTGGAACGAGGGGGAGCCGTCAGGTTTATGTTAGTGGGGAAAGATGTCGGCGGCCGGGGGCTGG